AGAGATGAACAGAGGTGGGTTGCCATTGCCGCCTCTATGTATCAGCCCTGGACTTCCTTGGTGGTCGACCATCCAAGTACTACCAGGGCTGACCCTGCTTAGCTTCCAAGATCCAACAAGATACCAATCACAATCAGTATATGAAAAATCAGTTGGGACAGGAATGGTAACCTGGTTGTTTCACACGCCATGGTGGCACAGGACAGAATCATGTATAAGAGGGTTCCTGTGCTGCATATGCAATGTATGAATCTGGCTTAATTCATCTAGGAAATTCCATAATACATGCTGGCAAAATTTGACATTAAAATAGTAATCCAAAAATATGTTTACTTAGTAGGATTTCAGAGGGATTTTGCTCCACAGACGTTCAAAGCTCAAGTACGCTACACCAACTGTGTTCCGACGAACTGCGTTCTCCTCCACAGCATACTTCAAATATAAAATTTTCTTTTTATAATATGAACTGCTGCCTGACCAAAGTCCATTTTCATGCCTATGTATGCTTTATAAATCAATTCTCTGTAAGCCCCAGAGCAAAAAGGCATGCTATGGAGAAAGAGTTTTATGTTCTCTATTACTTTAGCATTTCAAAAGCAGCCTTGTTTAAAAGAGAAAGGGCTCCATCTATGAAATCATTTCCTTCTGTTTAAAATATTTTACTGAGGGGGGGGGGGACAAAGGAGCATGAAAAGAGGGGGGATATCTTTTCTGTTTTGACTCTGCCCTAAGATTCAGCATTTCAGCGATTCTGTGGGATGATGCAGTGTGCCAGCTTCCGACTGCTCCAGCCAGAGGTTCAAGTCATCTTAGTCATGTCAAAACAATGAACGCTCTTGTGAAACTCACTGGATCCCACATCGCTCATGCCATCAGGGGGAGATTTTCCCCCCTCTCTGGAGAAAGGGTAGCTATCCTATTGGAGCAAATCAAGGCTCTAAGGAGATTGCAGATACAATGTTAGCCATTTATTGAGGCAGACAAACAAGATTCTCTTGTTTGGCCTTGTACAAGTGCAAAGGGGGTGGATGAAAATACTTTTCTGCTTATTGGAAAGATTCCCCCCCCCCCAGTAAGAAGGCTAGAACTTCGGGGGGGGGGGTTGCTTGAATTATGATGTGGGTTTAAATAGACTTATAAGTCTTTAGGAAATGATGGCTCTCTGATTTTAAGCACATTGCTCAGAAGTACAGCTCTGTGAATGAGAGGAAGTTATCCCTATACGTGTCTAACTTTATCTGAGGAATTGTTTAGAGTCACCATATTTTTTACTACAAGCATGGATATGTT